ATTTTCTCTATTGTTTTGTGATTGTGTTCAGTTGCTCATATTAATACCAGCCCTTTAAAGACATGTTTATATCTTAAAATACGCTGGGATGTCAAAGACTCGTCAAAAATATGTCTGCAACAACATCTCCATATGACATACAACGTCTACACTTCATGTTTAAGATGGGACAGGCGTGGTTTAGACTTACTTCCTCTGGTTGTCAGTCAGTGTGATGCCTTGTGAGGACACCTTGAAGTGCACAATGGTGGCAGTAGGTGGAGAAGCAGCAGCCAGTGTCTCAGATATGGCCTTAGCGACAGCCTGAGGCCCTGTCAGTGATTCCATCTCCACTGAGTTGATGTAGAGAACATTGCATGCTGCAAAGAGAGCAGACATCCCAGCTGGGTAAATGGTGTCAAACCCAATCGTGAACAATCTGTTCATGCAATAATGTTGACAGTGTCCTCATTAGAGTGCATGCTTTCTGCAACAAGGCTGGGGTTTTACAAACCAAACAGATCATTCCACATAAAACATTCTGTCTGTTATGGAGGGCAAGCTGGACGCTAGTGTTAAAAGACATGTTCTGGGGAAATCTGTCACGCAGGACTGTTATTTATTCGTCTTCATTTGTGGAGCATACACGGACAGACAACACACAGACACGATGCACATTCCAGTTGTAGGTTTCCAAATGAAAGTGCACAGGGTTTACCATGGGAATCAGCAGGGGCCCTCAGCACTGGGACAACAAGAACGTCACGTTGTCAGAATGAGTGACAAAACACACTAATGACGCTGACAATTATGTCCAAGAACCTCAGAACTTGGCTGACTGTCTTGGAATGTTAAACTTAAATAACCTAATGACTTTTAATACTGACGAGGAGGTTTTACCTGCTCCTTGTTTCAGCCTTTCAGCCATCGGGTTTGCTGTTGTGACCTCCGGTACTTCCTCAGTGAGCTCTGATTTACAGGAGAGAAAGTTTAAAGTTTACAGTTTTAGCACGAGGACTCCATCAAGGGTCAGATTTTCAGTTCATATAACTTTTTTTTTTAACTGTAAAGATTTGCTTAAGAGTAACACAGAAACACTTTTAAATGGAATACATGTTACACAGAACACTTATTGCACATACCTGTGGTGGGGATGACTAGTTTGCATGGGAGGGCCAGTGGTGTTATAGCATGTTGGTAGACCAATGCAGACAGGCA